GTCAATTACATATGATTTTCATGTGAATAACATATGAATATGTACATATATACGTAATTCACATATAATTCACTTGTGATTTACATGTGAATCACATATTATTCATATATGATTTACATGTGATTAATATGTAACTCACATGTGATTTACATGTGAATCACATATGATTTACATGTGAATCATATGTGATTTACATGTGACTCACATGTAAATATATGAATCACATATCTCATCAATTGATCGTTGATAGTTATTTAAAGCCTTATTCATATCAATCGTTTGAAGGTTATTCTTGATATTCTAGAAATGCTAAAAAAGCCTAATGTCAATGCAATGCTTCATTAATTTGGATTCCAGGTGTGTAGTCTCAATCATTTTCAGTTTTCTTAGTTTTTTTTAATGATTTTAATGAACAAGTTTTATGTTCCCCTGCAGTTGCTTTATGAATTGTATTTGGATCCCCTCACATTACATTGGATTCCATGTGTGTAGTCTTAATTATTATCCTTTTTGCCTTATATAATATCCATTGTATTAATTTGGATGTGATTTATATATTTACATGTGAGTCACATGTAAATCACATATGATTCACATGTAAATCATATGTGATTCACATGTAAATCACATGTGAGTTACATATTAATCACATGTAAATCATATATGAATAATATGTGATTCACATGTAAATCACAAGTGAATTATATATGAATTACATATATATGTACATATTCATATGTTATTCACATGAAAATCATATGTAATTGACATACTAATCACATTTGATTCACATGTAAATCACATATGATTCACATGTAAATCAAATGCGATTCACATGTAAATTATATGTGATTCACATGTGATTTACATATTAATCACATGTAAATCATATATGAATAATATTTGATTCACATGTAAATCACAAGTGAATTATATATGAATTACGTACATGTGTACACATTCATATGCTATTCACATGAAAATCATATGTACTTCACATACTAATCACATTTGATTCACATGTAAATCACATGTGAATCTCATGTGATTCATATGTGAATCACATGTGATTTACATATGATGTCATATGTAAATGTGATTCATATGTTGTGACGACCCGATATTTTAGAATCAGTGTAATGACCTAAAAAGTCAAGAATTTGTAATCTCTTTTAATGTAATGAAATTTGCATCAAAATTTTGAATGTTCAAAAGTCTCTATTGGGATACATAAAATGATAAACATCGTATTAAGGGTTTCAGAAATATAAAGAACACTAAAAACCGAGTTATAACGAAGAAGTTATGACCAATCTAAGAGTCATAGTAAAAACCGACAATACTGATAAACGTAAAACGCGAAGTTTCAATACAATTATATTTATCCTTAAGTATCTAAATGAAAATTGTAGATATCATTAAACCGTATGCGTATATAAAAAGAACGTCCAAATCTGATTTCGTATGAGAAAGTTATGATTTTTGCAAATTCCGAATATAGCAGCAAACAACTAAAATACTCGAAATAGAGATCGAGAGATTTTTAGCCAATACAACCTAAATAAGAATCAAATATCACAACAATAGTAGCACAACGGTATAAAGTCCGACGAGAACGAACCTCACATGAAGAAGTTATGGATTTTTAACGGACTTTTCATGTCCTGGCCCGTTAAAAATAATTAAAAATAAAAATGAATCAAAATTTTCCAACGGAGTCTAAATGAGAGTTGTAGATCATAATCTACGGAGCTCGTACGTGAAAGTTACGAATTTTACAAGTTTTCGACACAAAATCTGAGGCTGTCAGGCCTACCACGACGTGGTGACAAAGCCCACAACGTGGTATTGTGACTGATGGGTGCCAGGTTCGTTAGCAAACGTCTCATCAACGGAAGAGGATAGAATCCCTCACCACGACGTGGTGAGGTGTACCATGACGTGGCGCCCAATATAGGGCTATAAATAGCAGCCGAAGGTGTTGGGTTCCATTGCTCATTTCTTCTCTCTCTCTCTCTCTCATGCCAAAGCTTTGCGTTTAAAACCCCCGAAGCCATCCTGAAGCCTCGGTCTTCATACCCAAGTTCCGAAGGAAGGTTTTTTCACTCCCGAGATTCACAAGATTCCTGAGAATCCTGAGAAATTCAACTTTCCCTAGTCGAAATTTTGCTCAGTTTTCGTTTCACCTTCTTCTATCTATCAAGTGAGTTCATACCCCTACAACTATGTTTTCAAATACTTTATAAATGTTTTTATACACTTTCAAAGCGGGGGGGGGGGGGGGAGGGGGAATACAAGTAAACACACGGTTACTCTCGTGTGGAAAACATTAAGGTTTTACTACACTTATCTTTATATAACAAATAATATGTGATTCATAACTATCATATGAAAACGTTCGCATGCAACACCTATTCAATAACATTTTGTCCTCTAAGAGTAAAAACATGTTGTTATTACAAATGTTATACTTACATACCAAGCTGATATTGCACTAGGGTTTATCATACAACAAATCATACATTTGAGAAAAACTATAATATGTATAGTTTACTAGATATTTAGGAGACTTTACATACTATAAGTACTATATTAAGGAAATACTTTCATTTACAAGAAAAAATGAACTTTTCATACATAAATCTATTTGATACTAAGTTTTGTGAGACATTCAACTTCGCGTACTTTCAAGTATGCAGTTAAAGTCCTGTATTATTATATACCCTAATCTCTTGTAGGGAGAGCGTGATATTTGTGTATAGATCTATACGAGATTAACAATCCTGCACCTAAACTGTTAGCTACAGTTAGACCGGAAGGTCTGGGGTGACAAACGTCATAACATTCCAACGCCTGAAGAACGTTGTTACAGGCAGTCTAGATCAATAGCATGGAAATAAAACTCACATGGAGTATTAAAAAAACGATGATTTACGGGTTTATCAAATGTCTTAGTAATTTTATACATACTTAAATCTGTTATTCTAGACATGAAAAACTACAAATGCATTACAATTTTGGAACTTTTAAACTACCACACACTCATGGAAAAATATTGGATTTTTCGGAAATAAACTCAGTGATTTTATACCAAACTTACAAATTTTATACATAAATGCTTATGAACTCACCAACTTAATTGTTGACACTCTTTCAAAAGTACTTGTATTTCTCAGGGATTCAGTAATACAGGTAAACCCCAACTTTTGGAGAAGGGACGCTAAGGCGTTAGTTTAAAAACTCATTTTTATCATCATATTGTAATTTATTTTGAACAAGTATCATTCAACAATGTAGCTTTTAAATTATATATATGATGATTGTTTTACTTTTTCTACTATGTATTCAACTGTTGCGATACTACATGAAGTCATCCGCCCTCGAACGATTCCGCCATTCTGGTTTGGGGGTGTGACATATGTGAATTGCATGTGATTCATATGTTAATCACATGAAAATCACACATGTATTTTTGTAAGTGTTTTTGCATCAATTATTATTATTTTTAATTTTCTTGTAGATTTGAAAGAAATTGTGGTGAATATTGAAGAGGTGAAAAATGATAATTGAAGAAAATAAGGAGATATTGATACGAAGACATGAAAACGCTTTGAAATTCGTAGCATTTTTTTTATATATTTTATTTTATATTGAATAAAATACTTGTACTATTATGTTTATAGATTAATTAATAAAAATGAGATTTTTTGTGATTTACTTATGAATATTATAGTATAAAAAATATACATATGTGCATTTGAAAAAATATGCATATATGCATCTATTTTTTTTTATTAAAAAAATGCATTTTTTTTTGAAAAAAATGTAATTTTCTTTAAAATCTTGCATTTTTTATTTTTTTAAAAAAATTAAAGTTGTTTTTGAAAAAAATGCAATTTTCTTTTAAAAAAATTGCAGTTTTTTTTTTTTTTTTTTTTTTTTTTAAATTGCAGTTTTTTTAAAAAAAAATTATAGTTTAAAAAAAAAATTCATTTTTTTCAAAAATTATTGTTTTCTATAAAAAAATTGCATTTTCTTTAAAAAAGAACGAAAAATACCGTATTTAAAAAAATGTGAAAATTTGATTTATGATGCAAATTTTTAGAATTTATATTAATATATATTAAATAACACAAAAGTATTAAACATTAAATGATATTGGTAAGATGACGATCATATCCTTAATAAATTACTTTTGATTCAACGTTCCACTTTTAGTTTTTGGATTTTCGAGAAAATATGAGTTTTCAACCGATCTTTTATATATATATATATATATATATATATATATATATATATATATATATATATATATATATATATATATATATATATATATATATATATAGTCAATATGCAATTTTATAATTATAACAACTAACAATATTTTGATAAAAAAAATGATAGGTACCCGCAGGAGACTTTGACTTTATTTATAAATGCAACTAAATTAATAAAAAAGCAAAATATAAATACAAGAAATACAATGAATGAACCGGACGTTAGAAATTACTTATTTAATAGTATGATTTAAAGTGTTTATAGCGGTACAATTTTTTATCTGTTTGCCTTCTCATTTGTTGTATGATGATAACTAAAACGGTTAATAGTATAACTTAAAGTGTTTATTTATTTAAATCCATAAACACTTTTATTTGGAAAGTGATCTAAGTTACTTGATAAGATTAAAAAAAATCGATAAACACTTTTAGATAAATTTTTTTGATAGTAACTTCATTATTAATTTTATTTAATAAATTTGCAATAAGTTGTTTCATTATTACATATAAAATAAGAGTTTGTTAATATTAAAAATAATTTATCAATTTATTGTGTTTTGATACTAAATAAATTAATTTAGATATTTTTTTTATAAACTTTATTTTAACATCAAAAGCTCTATTATCTGTCCTCATATGACTCTCATAAGACACCTCTGTTCTATAGAAATTAAATTAGAAACTATAAATATAAAATAATTTATTCCCAAAACAAATTACATAATAACCAGAAATTCAAGATAAAATATAAAACAAAGGTTCCGCCAATTGCCACCGCACCACACGCATTCGCCTTTCTCCATCAAGTACAACACACCCCGTTGTCTTCCTCGATAAACAACACACTTGGATGTTCAGATATCTTTCTTGATTTTTTTTTCAATCCTCTCTGTGTTAATATTCTCCATCCACCCCAAATTAAAATCACTTATCATCCACAGATTATTGTTTTAAACAAAAATTGGAAGGAAGAAGAACGCCGGAATGGTCAAGAAAAGGGTACCAAGAGTCGGCAGCTATGCCATTTCGTCCGCCATTGCAGACCCTAACTGTTTTTCATGCTCAACCTTTAACATCCTTGCCCCCATCTATAAACGCCTAATTCACGAGGTAAAACCTAGACATGTGTTGTTTTGTAAAGTATTTTGCAAAATCGATCGGGTTTTGCGTATTTACATTTATTTTTAATTAAAGAAAGTTGTCTATGGTATCATATTACTTGGGTTTGTTCGTTGGAGGATTTTGCATTATCTTTAATTTTGTTGGGGTTTTGATTGTCTCTGGTTTCTTGTGGTGGTAAAACAGGATCATGCTTGCAGAGAAAGTGAAATCAGAGCGTATTGGTTGAATAGGAATAAAGGGATTTTGGATCTGCTATTGTGCGAAAAATCTTCCATAATCTGTCTTCAGGTTCCAATAAATCTGATGTTGTTTGAAAATATATTTGTTTGTATGTATGAGATTATTTATTGATGTTATTCGGTTGATACAGGAGTTTTGGGTTGGAAACGAAGAACTTGTCAACATGTATGACACGAGGCTTGGTGATGCAGGATATATCAATTTCAAGCTTGCACGCACCAACAATCGTGGTGATGGTAAGTTATTAGTCTTATTATCATCAAGCAATTAGTAGTTTATGTTTCTTAATGATAGCAGTATCAGTATCACTATGTTGATTAAAGGTAACTCACTTTGATATCTTTGGAGACATGGAATCTATTGCAGTCTCTCTCTCTCTCTCTCTCTCTCCAATCATACAGTTTGTTTGTCCAATTGCAATTTGTTTATGATTATGTTTGTAAGTGGGAAAAAAAAGATTCTGGTACATGAATAGCGCCAAGGAGGAGAGGCTGTTTCTTTTTGGAAAACAGAAAACTTGTCTGCACTGCAGAACAACATAAACTAATCAGATCTTGTCTGCAAAATAAGTTTGGGTTAAAGTAGATGATGGTGTGATTGTTATCTCTTGTGTTACTGTTAAAATAAAGGCGATTTTTCCCCTACCAGTAAGAAGTAAGAAGTAAGAAGTAAGAAGTTTGTGTTGTATAAAAATTATAACAGGTCTATTGACAGCTGTGCATAAAGACTACTTCCGGGTGATAGACCATCGGGAGTTCCTGTTCAACGATTTCGGAGACCGTGTTGCTCAGCTTTTACATGTTGAAGTAATTGCAGCCTTCACCGGGACCCAGTGCAGAAACAGTCAAGAAATTCTCATAGTTAACACCCACCTGTTGTTCCCACATGATTCAAGCATGTGTTTGGAGAGACTGCGTCAGGTAAACCTATCTATGATACATATGTTATGTTTCTGTTGATGCTGATAGTGAGTGATATTGGGTGTGTAATGTAATTAAACATATTAATAGGTATACAAGATCCTGCAGTCTGTGGAGGCTTATCAGAAAGAAAACAGTCTTAGTCCTTTGCCCATCATTCTGTGTGGGTAAGCATAAGTTGTTTAAGTGTTTTAACTTTTTTTAGTATGGTAATCTTGATGTGTTTGTTTGTAAAGTGATTGGAATGGGAGCAAGCGAGGTCATGTTTACAAGTTCCTAAGGTCACAGGGATTCGTATCATCATATGATACTGCTCATCAATACACTGATGCTGATGCACACAAGGTCGGTCCACTTCCACTTCCACTCATATTTTATTTTTACTAGCAAATAAATAAATGCTCATGGATGGCATTTCTGCGCAGTGGGTCAGCCACAGAAATCATCGAGGAAACATATGTGGTGTGGATTTCATTTGGCTTCTAAATCCAAACAAGTCTAGGAAAGTGCTCAAAACAAGTTGGAGGGATGCGGCTTTTGGGCTGTTGAAGGTTTTCTATTTATTTTATTTTGTTTTTGTTTTCAAAGTTTCTTGTAGCTTTCACTTTGTGATTGTTTTGACATATGAAAGAAAGTCGGTAACTCATAGATGTGAATGTGATGTGGGGATTCAGTATCAGTATATATATATATGATGCGTGCCTCATCATCGCTTTCTGATGCTGGCTGCCAGTGTTAACTTATTAAGCAGCGACTGTGAGTGACTTATCTCTAATCTTTCTGATGCTTGGAAGACATTACTATCATATGATATGTTAATAATAATAATAATAATAATAATAATAATAATAATAATAATAATAATAATATGCTGATATCATTCATGCACGACTCGTCTCTAATGAAGAAGCCTCTTTCTGTTTTCAGTATCATGTGCGACGAGCAAGAGCCTCCCTGACTGAAGCAGATGATGCCTTTGCATTTCTCAAGGCTGAGCCTGAGGCTGATTATATTACTTATTCGGGTTTCTGTGAGGCTTTGCGCAAGGTACATTTTCTACATGTTTTCCATCGGGAAATGGGAATCTTTACAGCTGCTTTGCTTTGCTTTGCTTTGTTTTTTGTTTGCAGCTTAATTTTATTGGTCATCCGTATGGCCTGAGTGAGGAGGAGACAAAAGAGCTTTGGGTTCAAGCAGACCCTGATGGCAATGGTGCTGTTGATTATAAAGAATTCCAGGTAGGTACAGGAATTTGGTCTCTGTGAAGCTGTTATTTTCATCTATTAATTTATAATCTCTCTCTCTCTCTCTCTCTCTCTCTATATATATATATATATATATATATATATATATATATATATATATATATATATATATAATTAATTAATAAATTGGGGGTTTGGCAATAATCTGCAAAGCAGCAGAGAGTATGGAATCCTACAAGTACAAGGTGTGAGGAGGAAGAGGAAGAAGCTGTGTTATTAGGGTACAGCGTGAAGAATGCAGTACTTTACCCAACTGAAGCAGAAAAAGGAATGTGGCCGGATGATTACTCACTCTCTGATCATGCCCGTCTCACTGTCGCCTTTTCACCTGTTTATACAAATATAACTTCTTCTTGATTCATTCTATATTCTATATTCTATATTCTTCCACATCCACTTTAACTTTTCAACCCAACCCAACCCAACCATTGGTTTGGTGGTTGATCCAGTCCTGATGAGCATACACATTATGGTGATGGATTTTTATAGTCACCACCAATTGCTGCTAATATATATATTACATAATATGTATATATGATTTCTTTGTTAAATTCTCTCATTTGTATAAACTGTAATATTACCTTGGCAAGTTGGCATGGCATATCCTAATACTTTGAGTAAGTATACTAGGAAAACGTAGATCCAAAACATGTATGCCAATATGCAATGCACAGGTTGATAGGAGTATTAGTTTTATGAATTTATCGACTGCTAAAACTAATTTTCAAACTATTGATCAAAATCATTATATTTAATAATGGTGAATAAATACAAACACAGCACACGGCACATAAGTTTATGGTATTTTAAAATTGTTTTATTTCGTGTTCAGAATGATAAAACTATTTTGCCATATAAACTTTAATCATATATCAAATATCAAATGCTAAATCAAATTGGGAGATGTAGTTCGATCACATCCTTAAGTAGGCGTGGTTCCTGGAATACACGTTTAAGAACCTTTATATATATATATATATATATATATATATATATATATATATATATATATATATATATATATATATATATATATATATATATATATATATATATATATATATATATATATATATATATAAATAAAGGTTCAAATAAAAACAAAAAAAAGTTAAGAACCGTAAGAATATCTAATTTTAGATGTTTATAAAGGGTATAGGGTTTAAGGTGTTTATAAAGGGTTTAGGGTTTAGAGGTTAGGGTTAACGGTTTAGAGTGTTTATAAAGGGTTTAGGGTGTTTATAAAGGGTTTAGGGGTTAGGGTTTAAGGTTTAGGGTTACCCTAAATCTTTTATAAACATTTAAAGTTAGAGGTTCTTACGGTTCTTAATCTTTTTTGGTTCTCATTTGAACCACTCCCTATATATATATAATATATATATATATATATATATATATATATATATATATATATATATATATATATATATATATATATCATGTGCAATATTAGGGATGAGCAAAAGGACCGAACCGGCCCGGCGGTTCCGGTTCTACAGGTTCCCGGTTCCTACCGGTTCTTATCGTGTCTTCAAATGTTGGAACCGGTCCTTGAAAAATAGCATCATACGGTTCTGGTTTTTACCGGTTCTATCGGTTTTTACCGGTTCCATCGGGTTCCGGTTCCGGTACCGGTTCCGGCCGGTTCCCCGGTCCATTTGCTCATCCTTATGTGCAATTGTTTGGGGAACATGAACATCCATTCCACAAATACGCTTCGTCTTAGAGAGATAAAGACACACACATACACATGTTAGAGGATGATATTGTAGTAGTTGTATTTCCGTGTAATTATTCTGTAACTGTCTATCTTTTGTTTGTGATCTGTAATCTTAGATCTAGAAGACTGTAATCGTTGTGTTTGTTCCATTTGTTTTCTTTTATGTTTTACATTTCAGTTTCTGAAATTTGCATGCTCATTTGATGGATGTTCATATCGCATGTTCTTAATTGATTAATGTTGACATGCTCGCAAAAGAAATTGTCTTACACTTCTTTGTGGAAAATTTAGAATCAATTTGATCTTAAAATTGATTAGTTCTTGATTCTCTAATTTCTAGTTATAACAATTTGATCTTACATCCAACATGTTTAAACTATGTTATGTCAATAATTGTTATTAATTGATTTTAGTCTTTTGTTGGATATTGAGTTTTTTGTTTAACTCTAATTGTAAACATTAAACTACTTATCTTCCATAGATAAAAATCGTTTTATATAAGTTTTGCAGAAAGTTCTAGTACGTCTTAAATCCAACAAATAGAAAATCTTCTACAAAGTATGAGGTGGAAAAGCTCACTCATAAAAATGACTTTGGCCTTTGGATGATGAAGATAAAAGTGTTGCTCAAACAACCATCTTTCTTATTTAATATTTGTCATTTTGAAAACTTCTTTTGCGAAAAATACGGTCCCGTAGTTTTTATAATTTAAAAGTACATAATTCAAGTTTAAAGTCAGAGGGTTTTCAATATAACATTATCACATAAAATTTAAGAGACACCACAATCATCATGGCGTTCTAAAGTCCAAGTTTTCTCTAATTATATGTTTTTTACATTCTAAAGTTGAATGCATATCAAAATAAGTAGCTTAGACATTGGAAATACCTAATAAGTAATACCACAATTCAACATTCTAAAAGTTAAAGGAATTGACACATTCCTTAAACGAATGTGAATCCTCAAAATTATTTGGAGAATCATAATAATACTTCTTAATCTTAGGATTAAATAGTTTGACACATTATCATACACACGTAGTGATTCATCATCATTTTCCATATAGTTACTCATCACCATTCGTCATTTAGTTATTCATCGTTTTTGTCATATATTTGATCATCTTCATTCTTTATTTAGTCTTTCATCATTATTTGTCATTATTCATTCATCATTTAGTCATTTGTATCACTAATCTTAAGACATTTAAGGTCATTTACAATTCAAGAATTATCATGATAATATAGTTGCTATTGTAGTCTTTCCGGTTAGTTGGTCAAATCATTTCAAGCAAAAAATCCCCTAAAGTGCTTTTAGTTGATTCAACCTGAGGAAAGATAAGTCCCAGATGCACTGCGTTGCAATCTTGATGTCATGGGTTTAGCATCGATTAGATGTTGTTGCTAGTTTTTGATTTAGGCAGTTTTGGCTCATGGTTTCAGTGTCGGAGCAAGAAATTTTTATATGGAGGTACAAACATTATCAATAATATTCTGTGTAGTTATCATATCGTGGACATTAAAAAACATGATATAATCTCTTTAGCTGAGGGTAATAACATAGAACATGTTTACAAATAATTTTTTTTATATACATAAAACAATTTTTTTTAGGATGCTATAGTACCTCCAACGCCCGATGTAGCTCCGTTACTGCATGGTTTTGTGTGTTTGTTGACGATGACCTAAGGTGGAGAATTGTTGGGTTATAGTCCAATCATCAATTTCACATCAGGTAAAAGGAAGATGATGTATATGGGTTGACTTTTGTTGGTCAACAAAACAGAGATAATGGTGGAGTACAAGTCTTACGTTATTGATCGATTAATGTTGATGTTCTGTTCTTAATTTGATGTCTTATGTTCTTGATCGATTAATGTTGAGATGCTCACAAGAGAAACTGTTCATGCTTATGGTTTGTGGACAGATGTTGAATCAATTTGATCTTAAAATGGATTAGTTCTTGATTCTTTAATGTCTAGTTATGATAGTTTGATCGTAACATGTTAGATACCACACAACATAAAACTGGAACGGGAATAATATTTTAGATACCACACAACATAAAAATGGAACGGGAATAATAATTTGGTCAATATCTTTCTAACTTATTTGAAGTTTGAATATTAAACAAAATGTAAGAGATTTGGTGATGCTATGGGTTTAGCTAGGGTTTGTATTTTTTTATTTTTTATTTATTTATTTATTTATTTTTTTTACCTCCGATGAGTCATGAGCGAGCAATTACTACACGGGACAACGTACATCGGCAATCAACTTCATTGCCTTCCTTTCCATTCTGAACCGATCCGGTTTCCGTCTTTCTCGCCTCCTATCCATTTCTCCATACAAACCAAGCAAAAACGCATATAGTATATACTCTTTACCTTTTTGGCATTTATGCATCTTCTATTCTTAATTCACAATGGTCCTTTGCTCATCTTCAACGTCCTTATCACCCTTGTATCTTTTAAAGGTCTGCAAAAATGTTAATGTTCGATACCTTGAGCAAGTCCACGCCAAAATCATTCGCCAGGGCTCCGAACAAGACCATTTCCTCGTAGCACAATTCATCTCTGTCTGTACCTCCATCTCTCCTAATCACCTCACTTACGTCTCAACCATTTTTGACCGCCTTCTTCAACCCAATATTTATCTTTGGAACACTCTCATTAAATGCCACTGCACACACTCGTCCCTGGCCACGTCCATCAATTTTTTTCGGCGCATGAAACAAAATTGTTATGTTGCTGCGGACAAATACACATTCCCCTTCGTTGGTCAAAGCTTGTTCTGGTGCTTTGGCGTTGAGGGAAGGACAGGTTATTCACGGGTTGATAGTGAAGTATGGTACAGAAGGTGATGTGTTGTGGGGTCTAGTTTGATAGATCTGTATGGGAAATGTGGTGAGATGATAGATGCTCGCAAGGTGTTTGATGGAATGCCTGTGAGAAACGAGGTTACTTGGACTAGTATGATAGTTGGGTATTCAACAAATGGGAGTTCTTTAGAGGCCAAAAAGCTGTTTGATGAAATGCCCCAAAGGAATCATGCCTCATGGAATGCCATGATAAATGGGTTTGCAAAGTCGGGTGATCTGGCAAGCGCCAGGATTTTGTTTGATGAAATGCCTGAAAAGAATTTGGTGTCATTCACGACTATGATTGATGGGTATGCAAAGTCAGGGGATATGGCATCAGCGAGATGTTTGTTTGATGAATCACCTGGTGAGAAAGATATTGTTTGTTGGTCTGCAATGATAGCTGGGTATGCCCAGAACGGTCAAGCTAAAGAAGCCAGAAAATTATTCATTGACATGTGTTGTAAGAATGTTAAGCCTGATGAGTATGTGATGGTGAGCCTAATTTCAGCATGTTCACAAGCTGGTGATTGGGAGTTTGCTGAGTGGGTTGACATGTATATGAGTGAAAATAAAATTGAGGTTACCCAAAATCATGTGGCTGCAGCGCTGGTGAACATGCATGCAAAGTGTGGGAATTTGGAGAGGGCAGAGGCCTTGTTTGGAAACATGCCTAAACGGGACTTATTTTCTTACTGTTCTATGATCCAGGGATTCTCTGTTCATGGGGACGGGGTGAAAGCGGTTGCCCTTTTCCGCAGGATGCTTGAAGGAGGAGGTCTGATTCCAGATGACGTGGCCTTCACTGTCATCTTGACTGCTTGTAGTCACGCTGATCTTGTTGAAGACGGCTGCCACTTTTTTCATTCTATGGTCAATGAATACGCGCTGTCTCCTTCACCTGATCACTACGCATGTATAGTGAATCTTCTTGGTCGTGCGGGAAAGTTAAGAGAGGCATATGATATTCTTAAACAAATGTCAGTGCCACCTCAACCCGCTGCTTGGGGTGCTCTTCTTTTTGCTTGTAGAACACATGGTGACGTGTCATTGGGTAAAGAGGTTGCAGCCCAGCTTTTCAAGAATGAACCTCAAAATGCTGCTAATTATGTGTTGCTATCCGACATGTATGCAGCTTCAGATCAGTGGTCTCATGTTGACCATGTAAGGAACCAAATGAGCGACAAGGGAATCAGAAAACTTCCTGGCTGTAGTTGGATACAACAACACTACCAATAGGATTAAAAATCTTATTTCCTACTTAACTTGCAAACTTGTTCGTCATATGTTTTGTAATTATAGGATTTTCAGTTTCTATTTTTGGTGATTTTTTTGTGTCCGAGTAGGCAAATCTGTCTAGGCAGCCAACACAGAAACAAACAAGCCAAACAAATCAAATATGTCTGCGAAACAAGTTATTTCATCAATATTCTAAACTAGATGCATGATATCTGCATCTCTGTAAAAGAAGAGGTTGAACACTTTTTTTTTAGTATACAAATTTAAGGGCTTTGTGTGGTCGTCGAAAGTTGTTTTCATTTTTCTAGAAAATGTTTTTGGAAAATAGAGTTGAATTTTCATTTTCAGTTTTCAATGAACTATTTAGAAAATGCGTTTGGATTTTCATTTTCCATCTCTAGAAATTTTAAATATTTTGAAAAACTATAAAAAATCATTTTTTTTTTTTAATTTACATACAATTTGAAAAACAGAAAATTTTCATTTTGTTGGAAATTTTTGAACACAAAATCATCCAAATGAGTTTTAAAATTTACATGGAAAACTAGAAAAAATTTCACAACCAAACACACTCTAAAATTTTCCTTTTTGTAACATGATAGGCTTGTTGATAAGAGTGCGGAAAGACTACTTTGAAGAGTGGAGTTCCTCTTCAATGTGGAAATAATTAATTTCATCCCAACCCGCTCTTCACTCAGTGATGGTGATACAACAAGGTTTGTCGAGAAATTCTTATATAAATAACACCCACACTCACACCATACATATTAATTGTTTCCTCACCATTAAAGCATGTGTTTGTTGTGGTAAACCAAGATGATACGGTCTACGTCTAGCATGCACGCAATGCATGTACATGGTGTTATATTTTGTTGTTGCATGCATTTGATATATCAATCATTTAATCTTTGGTTTAACAAAATAACATCCTACATCCTGTAATATGTTGAATTTAGCATATACGAAAGAGAACAATCAATAGGTGTCCCTTGCAAAGAAAAGAAATGGATTGGAAACACTCATACTACTCATCTTCCTAACTCATTGTTTTCTATTTTCATAGCAGTACAATACCAAAGTTTTTCTTACGCCTAAGGTGTACTTACCTTTTACCCTTTTAATTTTGTGTCACGTCAACTTTCTCATCACTCTCATTTTCTCTCTTCAAAACCCAAAAAATAGTCACATTTTATTTCCTTTCACTTTATTCTTCACAATAAAATTATTTTGGTTTTAAAAACTATAATTTTAAAAATAAATATAATTAATTAAAAAAATAACTAATAAACAAAAAGATAATAAAAATAATAAATATTTCAATAGTTAAAAAGTAAAAAGTAAATAATAAAACAAAGTAAACATAATTAAAAATCACATAATAATTATAATAGAACATTATTAAAAAACTACATCGCTCTGAATCGTCGTCCTCATTATCCGAATCCTCTTCTAAATCCTTGCCCGAGTCATCGACAGACATATCTGAATCTTTATCTGATTCGTCAACAAATCATTGTGCTAGTACTCGACCTTGGACTATATGACCTTGGACTATATGTTAGCAATGTAAATATGTTCCACCAAATCTGCACGAAGTGAGTGATGATTGACACAATCACGTACTTCTCTTCAATTTTCCCTATAGTCTTGCGTACCAACATCTACTCCTTCGACATTTGGCAAAACGTCGTTTTTGTCGAAGCGGCATATCGTTTTTCCACCATATTCTAGAATCATATTATGCAATAAGATGCATCATACTTATATTGCTTAAATTAGTCATTTAATTTGGGTTTGTATCTTAATAATTAATTAATTAATTAAGAATATTGTAATTTAAGGATAAATATTGTAACATTCTTAGTTGTAACATCCCTAAATTATAAGGTAAAAATTTCTTTTTTTTTAATTCCACCAAAACATTAATTATATTTTAAGTCAACATTACACATTATTTTTCTAAATACTCAATAGTACTTTATAAGAAAACAGTTATCAGAGTAAAATTTGAAAATCATCATAATACGGAAACATGAGTGGATGCGATGCGATCAAGCATGACCCTTTTCCTTTCAAACTGGAAGTATCTAAAACATAAACTGAAAACTTTAAGCATGAAACTTAGTGAGTTACCCAAACTACCACATACCAATCTAGGAGTATAGGGACGTAAAGTGAGCATAATGGGAATGGATAATCAGAGATATTTTTGGTTGATGAAATTAATAAATATATTGTTGGTTGATGAACTTAATAAATTTATTTATTGTGGGTTGAAAACCCTATATGCTCACCACGCTCCCAAGCCTGACCCACTCAACTTTTTATATTACAGGTAGTGGACCCAGAACATAGTTGGATGATGAAGAGAGATTTTTGGATTATATGCCATTAGATGTAAATATCTGTTTTAAGGTCTGTAATATATTGTTTATGCTTTTGGTCTGTATCGATTTTGTAATGAAATGAAAAATACATTTCTTTAAGAAATGTTTTGATAAAATTTTATCATATTTTGTTTTAGGACAAATTCTGCATATTTTTATTGGAGAGATTATTCTGATATTATTTTAAAAGCATAAACTAAATCGGTCTTTTCTGGCCGAGCAATTGGGGGATGTCACAGTTGGTATCAGAGCATTAGTTTAAACGAACTAGAAATTTATATGATTTCTGTTCAGGAATTTAAGCGTACTACTACAATATTAGAACTAGCATGTAAACTTTCGGAGTGATAAGGAGAATTTAAATATCTATCGTGAATGAAGATCTAAATTCGCCTAATTTGGTTTATAGATCAAAATGACAATAACTTGAAGTGGAGCTGGAAATGCAAACAGAAATCAGCAACCTCAACCCCAAGTGATGGAGCAGGTGCCAATAGCAGAAGCTGCACCAGAACCAATCATAATGGTTGAAGTGCAAGTGTGATGATTGAACAAAGGTAGGAAATGAGGCAACTGTTGCTGAACAACAGGAGTGAACCTTCAATACTTGTTGAACAACCGGAATTAAATGACGGTCAGTTAGAGGAAGGAAATTATAGTAGATCTGTTGGTCAAACTTGAAACGACCAAAAATACGACCCAAAAATTTTTGTTTTTAATATAATCAAAACTATAATCAGAGTATCATATAAATAAACCATGCGTGATATGTCCCAAAATATAATAAAGTACTGTGCGGAAACTGTATCATACTACATCAAATCAACAACTAAATCAATCCCAGACTAAAGCTGAGGCGGTGGTGTGTGCAATGCCGTCACCCCGAGCTCTTCCCTTTGCTTGCGGAAGTACTTGAAACCAAAACTGAAACTGTAAGCACGAAGCTTAGTGAGCTCCCCCAAATTACCACATACCATACAAAACATATAAACACATATTGGGCCTTGCCCACTGCATCGGGCCGGGGCCCGAAAACTGCATCGGACCGAAGTCCGGAACTGACTGGGACCTTGTCCCCTGCATCGGACCAAAGTCCGGAACTAACTGCATCGGACCAGAGTCCGGAACTGACTGCATCGGACCGAAGTCCGGAACTGACTGGGACCGTGTCCCCTGCATCGGACCGAGGTCCGGAACTGACTGAGCATAGTATAGCATATCATAACAATTATACTGCATACTGCATTGGGCCGTAGCCCGGAACCTAAACACATACACATAGCGCATAAATTATGTCTGAACCACGAAGGCATCAAACATACTAACTACTACATGGACCGAAGTCCGGAACTACTACTAACTGAACGGGCCGGCATTGTGGCCTTAGACCCGTCCCTACTGGAAGGAAACTCACCTCGTAAGCTAGCGGATGAGTGTGTGGCTCGGAAAGCTAACGGCTGCTGCTCCTGAATCTCCTCGGCTACAAATCCATAAACACATTCAATCAATCACTAACACTACACTCGGGGTAAATGACTCTTTTACCCTTGGTCAAAGTCAACTTACTCAGGGCTGACTCGCCGAGTCGGGATACCCAACTCGCCGAGTCCTAGACTTTCCTCTCAACTCTTACACGCTGGTACTCGTCGAGTGTGGCATCGACTCGACGAGTACCCTCTGGATCCAAGAACTCAGATGATCTTCATCCGACTCGCCGAGTCGGATGAACAGACTCGACGAGTTGTTCTTGATCCCCAAGAAGATTGCCTTGGACTCGCCGAGTTGTATGAACAAACTCGCCGAGTCCCTCCATTACTGAGTCTACTCTCAACCCGCTGAGTCCACTCCCTAACTCGCCTCGTCCACTCGACACTGATAAAACTGAAGAACTCAGGACTCGCGACCTGACTCGTCGAGTCGTTCTTCCGACTCGCCGAGTCGCCGCCATGCAACATATTTTTACTCGATTTCTCTTGAATCCAACACATGCAAATGATAGATCTAGGTCCAATAAGCTGTGTTACCACGTAAAGTTTCCAACTTTACGTACACAACCTCATGAATAAGGGAAATAAGACTAAAAGATGCACAACAAGAGTAGATCCATGGCTAATATGCAATGTAGCTCCAAAAAGACAGTAGATCTGGGCTCTACAACACCCCAACACTCAGATCCAAAGGTATTTCGACTTATTAACACATTCATGCAAACATAAGGCTTGGAACAACATCAAATAGCCCTTAAAAGAGCTCTAATGGAAGTTTAAGCATGTAACCAGAAGGGAACTCCGAAAATACCTCAATAAGCTCAGATTTGACCTTGGATCTTTGCACTACAACTCGTTTCCTTGCTTCCTTCTTCTTCTCCTTCTTCACACCTTCACAAAATGGAACTAAATCACTTATAAGCTCTCAAATGGAAGGGTTAGGGTTTCTCACAGAGCTCTCAGGGTGAAAGTGGCGAGAATGAGGCTATAATGGGGTTTAAATAGTGAGCAAACCCGGGGATTTAGGGTTTCACCCAGACGGACGGACTCGCCGAGTCGCCGGCTCCCGCGTGCACAAAATGCGCGACCCAACTCGGCGAGTCAGGCTAGAACTCGCCGAGTCCCT